TATATATATATATATATATAAGCTGTATTCGATACAGTATTACCTAATACACTTATACTTAGTGCATAGTATATAGCGTAAGTACATATATTATATATATATAAGCTATATTCGATACGGTATTACCTAATACACTTATACTTAGTGCATAATATAGCGTAAGTACATATATTATATATATAAGCTGTATTCGACACAGTACTACCTAATACACTTATACTTAGTGCATAGTATATAGCGTAAGTACATATATTATATATATATAAGCTGTATTCGATACAGTATTACCTAATACACTTATACTTAGTGCATAGTATAGCGTAAGTACATATATTATATATATAAGCTATATTCGATACGGTATTACCTAATACACTTATACTTAGTGCATAGTATAGCGTAAGTACATATATATTATATATATATGATCTATATTCGATACGGTATTACCTAATAAACTTATACTTAGTGCATAATATATCGTAAGTATATATATATTATATATATAGACATTTATTTACATAGTAAATACAAAAGTGATTTTTAATTTTGACCATATAGAGACCAACTTTGGTCGCTAACTGTAAATGAATTTAAATTTAATTTAGCGACCAAATTTGGTCACTAAATTTTAATCAGATTTATTTATATTTTATATAATATTTAAATTAATAATAAAAATTATTAAATGTTAGAACTGTGTCCCACCTTGGCGACCAACGTTGGTCTCTATTTCATTAAGCGACCAACTTTGGTCGCTAAATTTTGAATTATATTTATTTATATTTTATAATTTATTTTAAATAAATATATATTTATTAAAATATTATAACTGGGTCCCATGTTTGCGACCAATGTTGGTCGCTATCAACTTATCCTTCAGTTAGCGACCAACTTTGGTCGCAAGTTTTAAATTATATATATTTATATTTTATAAGTGTTATAAAATAATAATAAAATTATTAAAAAAATTTATGTGGGTCCCACTTTAGCGACCAACATTGGTCGCTAATCTCAGTATATCTTTGACCAAGCAAGTCTGACCAGTCCAGTCAACAATTTGACTAAATTTGCGGCCAAATAGCGACCAACTATGGTCGCTAAAGTATTTCAAATAATTTTTTTATTATTTTCGGCAGTTTGGCGACCAACTTTGGTCGCTTTTCTTGACAGACCAAATTTGGTCGCTAATCTTTGGTTGCTTTTTATAGGAATTCTAGTAGTGAGTCCAAAAGAATGTAAACATCTGACCTTTGAAACCATTTTGCTTTAATGGTTAAGAAACGTTTGAAAATTATAACCATTAAGGCTAAACATTATTGTTGTGTCAAAAAGTAACGTAGAAGTTATTATAGCCATTCAATTATGAGATTAAACTTGTCAAATTAGTTGTTACAAATATATTTAAAATAATTACTATAGTAATGTCTCATTAATATAATAGTAAGAAAATAAATTTAGACATAGTTTTGAAATATTTTTTATTGAGATATCAAAAGTATTTTTTTATCAATCCCCCACATATCTCAAAAAGAATATTAAAAATAGTAAAATAATAAAATAATTTGCTGGGTTTCACAAATGAGCATAATGCGTCGAATCTGGTGTCTCTTGGACTATGACCCAGACCTAGATAAAATAAGATTAAACTTACAGAATAATTGGTGATGTTCAATACTTCTATGAACCAAGAAATCTTTTGTAAGTTTAGTGTCTTATCTATCACATTATACCCGCACACACTTTGTTGTTTATCGCGGTTTTGCGCTAATAGGCCATGCGCGCGCCTGGTTTTCGTGAGTGCTCTAGAAATTTTGCCACAAATTTCATAGAAGCGGCCCCACTCCACACTCATATAGGTCAATCCATCAAGTGTATTCTGCAGCACAATACACCACCTACAATAGGCTATGGATTATTGGATTAAGAGCTTAATAACTCAGCCTCACATTTCTTGCAGTCTTGCACTATATACACACACCATAGGAAGTGACATAATTTAATAGTGCACATTTGATCAACTAATGACTGTTATTACCCATATGAACCTACATCATGGGATCTCCAATCATATAGGTTGGGTTACCATCATTGTTGATACATCTCAAATTGGCAAAAGTCTCAACCCCTCGATGTTTCACTTATAAGTCAAAGGATCGGCCAAATCCTCTTTTGACTACACATAATATGTACAAAAAATTCTCATCTCTAAGCAATTGCTTTATGATATTATATCTTAAAAAAATGTGTCTACTTTTCCCATTGAAAGATTTATTTTCTTACAATGGCTATTGCACGTTGGCAATCCCAATTCATCGACACAAATATTATCGGTTTAATTCCTAGCGGAATACACGCCAATAGGTTGCTTAATCAACTTCACTGCCAGACAATTTTAATATCATAACACCCACCAAAGGTGATCACACAATAACTAGCTAGTTTTTTCTCATCTGAATCAGAGATTCAATATCATCACTGTATCTTTCTAATACAGTGGAAATCCACATAGAAAATACTAACCTATAGTATTTCTCAAATAAAGCATAAACTCATCTCAAATGAAATAAAACTTGACTTTTGTACAAGTGCCTTTTGAAACATCTTTTAACACATAAGAATTTGGTTTCTTTTTGTATCTTCCGTAGTCAAGTACCAAAGAAAATTTTCTAAATACAGAAGCAACTTTAATTACAGAAATATCTCAAATCAGTAAGAAACGGGTCATAATTCAACGATTTTCTTCACCCAAATGACTAAGAGACCCAAAGCACCATAACTTTTCGAAGTCAGAAATACAACAAATTTTTGATCTTCCAATATAAATTTTTGCCACAAAAAGTCTCATTTTTGTAAGGCTTCAATGTTATAATTTTAATAAATAATTTTTCTATTTTTTTCCCCTCTTCTTAGGATCAAGCTAGATAATTCAGGACATCATGGTCCCCCACATTTTTAAAAATTTCAAGTTAAGGAGATAACATTTTCACACACATACCGTCACCGAAAGTCTTATGTATATATCACACATGATCTGTTGAAAAAAAAACATGGCCAGATTAAATGGAATACAAAACTCTAACAACTATCATTCCAATTCCTTCTGTCCATATAAGTGCTACCAATAGAACAAGGAAAAATAGAATTGCCTATTTTAAAGATGACTTAGGAAATTGGATCAATGATCCTAACAAAATCTTGGATCACACTCTCAATTACTTTGTTAAAGCCTTCAAAACTGATCATGTTACTACTAATTGGTCCCTTATCAAAAACAATCCATAGGCTTATAATAATATTGATCTTTCCATCCTTGATGTCCATCTCTCTAAGGAAGAAATTTACAAAGCTGTCTTTTCCTTCAAGCCCTTTAAATCTCCGGGACTGGATGGTATACATCCCTTCTTCTACCAGAAGTACTGGAACATTGTGGGTAAATTAGTTATAGAACTATGTACTCAAATATTCAACACCCAATCTTTACCCCCTGAAATCAACAACACCTATTTTTGTCTAATTCCCAAAATCCCCAATGCAAACAATCTGAAATCTTTTAGACCCATAGGTCTTTGTAATACCATTTGTAAAATCATTACAAAGATTATTGCTAATAGAATCCAACCTTTCCTCAACCATATCATAAGCCCTTTCCAAGCTAGTTTCTTAAGAGGCAGAAGGTCCTCCGACAATGCCATCATAATCCAAGAGTTGATGAGCCAATTTAAAAAAATGAAAGGGAAGAAAGGCCACATGATTCTTAAACTAGATCTGGAAAAAGCTTTCGATAGATTAGAATGGTCTTTCATCTACTTAACCCTCTCTCACTTCCAATTTCTCAATAAGATAAAGAAGCTCATTGTGAACTGTATATGCACTAGTAACATTGCTATTCTGGTAAATGGAACCACAACCTCTTTCTTTGCTCCCAGTAGAGGAATCAGGCAAGGCTGCCCCCTCTCCCCCTTTATATTTATTTTGTGTATGGAAATGCTATCCCGCCTAATCTCCTACCAAGTTGATATCAATCTTTGGGATCCTATTGGCCTCAATCATAATCACACTAGCATATCCCACTTGTTCTTTGCAGATGATCTCACTCTTATGGCTAAAGCTGACAAAAAAAACCTTAATACCATCAACAACTGCCTCAACTTCTTTTGCAGTATGTCTGGTCAAAAAATCAATAAAGGGAAGTCTAAAATTTTATTCTCCCATAACTGTCCTGTCCAAATCTCCAAAGAAATTGCCTCAGGCTTCAATTTGAATATAACCAACTTCAATTTGAATATAACCAATAATTTTGGTAAATATCTAGGATTTCCTATCCTCAATAATGCCCCCAAACCAGCTGACTATCAATTCATAATCGATAAAATGCGGGCCAAACTCTCAAATTGGAGAACCAACTGTCTTAATATAGCAGGGAGAACCACCCTAGCACTTGCTACTCTTAATTCGATTCCAAATCATGCCATGCAATATACTCTACTCCCCACCAAAACCCTCAAACTCATTGACCAAATCCAAAGAAATTTTATCTGGGGTACCACTTCTAACCAAAAGAAATTACATCTCATTAATTGGAACACTGTTACAAAACCTAAAGAATTGGGAGGATTAGGTATGAAAGATGCCCTCTCGAAAAATAAAGTCCTTCTTAGTAGTCTCTCCTGGAGACTTATCAATAATTCCTCTTCTCCTTGGGCTAACCTCCTAATCCGCAAATACTGCAAAAAGAAGCTTAGCAACTCCTCCTTCATTTGGAGAAGCATTGTTACTGGTTGGAATCTTTGTAATCAAGGCATTCAATGGCTCCCAGGTAGAAACTCTAATTTCAACACTTGGGACACCCAATGGATTCCTAACCTTCTAACCCTTAGAGCCAATATTGAGGGTCCTTTAAACTACAAAGAAGATAACCTCCCTATCAAGAAACTATACCATAAAGGGAAATTGGATTTTCAGGAAACTTCATTCACTATTCCTCTAGAAATTTTGGATAAAGTAAACTCCATCCCATTACCACTCCAGAACATCGATAAACCTCTTTGGAGACTCAGCCCCAATGGTTCATTCAACACCAAATCTTGCTATAGCCTATTAAACCTTAGATAACACTACTAAACAAGACTTTGAGTGGATTTGGAAAATGCCCTGCCCAAACAAAATAAAATACCTCTTTTAGCAAATCCTCCACAACAAAATTCCCTGCCGCTCCTATCTCCATCATATAGGTATGAATATAAACCCCAATTGCCCAACCTGTAAAGATAAAGAGGAATCCATCACTCATATTTTCCTCACATGCCCCGTCGTCTCAACCCTATGGAGACATTTCAACACCTCCATCTTGACCTTAAAACACGATAAACACTGGCTTACCAAACTGAGAGATAGTAACCTTACCCCCCTATGGTTCCCTGGAACACACTCCTGCCTTTCCTCCTTTGGGGAATATGGATCAACATAAATAATAATAATATCAATAATACACACTATTCCCCGCATCTGGAAAATATCTCTAATATAGCTTATGAATTCCACTTCTTTAGCTCCAGTGACTTACTCACTACTGCCAAATCCAACATCAACATAAAATGGTATCCCCCCCAACATGACTCTTTCAAACTCAATACAGATGGTGCCTTCAATCGAGTAAGGAATAATTTTGGCATTGGGGGAGTTTTTCGTAACCACAAAGGGAATTGGATATTAGGATATCAAAAATCCGACAAAGCTCTCTCACCTTTGCATGCAGAACTCCAAGCAATCCATGAAGGATTGAAAATAGCTACTAAATACAACCTGTTTCATTAGAGATTGAAACGGACTCCACAGAAGCCATTTATGCACTAAACAACGATCACTTTGTCATGACTAATATTGTCTATTCGTGTAGATTATTGATGCTCCAGCGGAAGGACCTGTCACTACGGCATAACTTCCGGGAAGGAAATCAAACAGCTCACCTTTTGGCCAAGGACGCATGCAAGGAGACATTTTGGCAAGCTTGCAAGGATATTCCTAAACTACATCCAGCTCCTCCCTCTTTTGTAATCGAACAAGTTGCTAAAGATCTGGATGTTGGCTACTTATCCAAGAAATCACTAGATACTATGGCTTGTAATAGATTAAGACTTTTAGGCAACAAAAACGTCACAAACACTGGTTTACCATGCTGTGACCATTTCCATTCTCTAAGTTTATGTACGATGGACTATGTTTAATATTTATATAATATAAATATCCCTATTATCAAAAAAAAAAAAAATTATTCACTCTTTCATAATTCTCATAGAATTAGCAAAGAACTTATACAACTTGGATGAAATCAATCATGCTTTTATATGTAACACACCAAATTCAAAACTCAAATTTGATTCTCCATAATAACAAAGTAAAAATAAAAATATCCTTAAGATTTGCTTGAGAAATGACCACAATAATTATATCATTCGCTTAGTCAAAATTATTTTTAGAACATAAAGTACTTACACCAAAATACAATATACTTTGGTCTTCCAATATATATAATGTCGCCACAAGAATCACAAGTTCATAAGGCTCTTCCATATTGAGATTAAATGATTATTTTCAGCGACATAAGGGCGGACAAAAGCGATTGACAACAAAATACATACATGAGTTCTTTTAGATATATGTGTAATAACCATTTTGATAACAGAGCGAACTATTCTTTCGCCTTTTACTAAAGAATACCGTGTGCGCATCGCAAATAGTGGTATACGCCAATTTTATTGATAGAAAAATACTTTTGATAGCTCAAAAAGAAATATTCCAAAACTATGTCTAAATTCATTTTCTTACTATTATATTAATGATACATTATTATAGTAATTATGTTTAAAATATTTGGTGATTCAAGAACTACTCAAGTTCTCAGAATGGAAAATTTCTTTTTAAGCAAATTTGGTTCCTGTATAATTGTTAGATTATCTCAAAAAGAAATATTCAAATTGATGATTAGATTCATTGTTTTAATATTATGTTAATGGTGGGTATTTATTATACTAATAAATTGAATATAATTTGATTATATTTTCAAATATAATAATAATTTTGTAACTGAAACTTGATACACTATTCTTGAATAGCCTTAATGGCTAATGTTTTCTTTCAAAGCCTTAAATGGCCTTTAATTTTCTAACGTTTTTGGCCTTTAATATGGTAACAATCTGATGTCCATTTTTTTGAACTACATATATCTAATTCCTTTTGTCCATTTTGAGTGTGAACAAAAAGAAAAAAGTAACGTAGAAGTTATTATAGCCATTCAATTATCATATTAAACTTATCAAATTAGTTGTTACAAATATATTTAAAATAATTACTATAATAATGTCTCATTAATATAATAGTAAGAAAATGAATTTAGACATAGTTTTAAAATATTTCTTTTTGAGATATCAAAAGTATTTTTCTATCACCTTGTCTGTAGGCTTGGAGTGAATTTTACGACACCATTTAACCTTGGATTTTTTACAACAAATCCATAAAAAGTTTATTGTTATTAAAAGAACTAGTACACCTTTTTATAATCGGATGATGCCCCTATAAGGCTGTTAAAATTGCTGTAGGTGCTGTGAGTTTTATTGTGTAAGAATTTTGGTAATATTAGAATTATATAAAAATTCTTTATCACATCTGATTTTACTCGTAAACAATAGTTTTATATTCGATTAGCTCCTCCTTGGTTGCATATGCATTGTGTATCATATTAGTAACTATTATTAAAGAATTATTGTAACTAGTTTTGGATTTCTAATGATTTGCGAAAGAGAATAAGACAAGTTCTCATCCTTTGAGATTTTGACACTTTTTTCTTCCTCATGTTTAAGTTTAAACAGGACTTTTGAAAAAAATATAGATGTCTTGCCCTATGGTAGTTGAATAGGTTAACTTTTCTGGTATAGTATCAATTTTTGAAAAGATAGATCCAGGTTTGTGAAGGTGATCACTTATCCTCTGTTTAATAGATGTTTTATGAGATCTTTGTTGCTTTGGGCAATTTCTTCTAATTGATGTTCTTTGTTTCTACACCAGATGCAGCATAATGCAATAGCTTACACAGAATTGAGTTGCAATAGTTTGTCTGGTTCCAGGTAAAGTTCTTAGGTTTGAATTCTTTAAACGATCAAAGCACTATTGTAATAATTCTTCCCGGGTTACAATCCAGATTACTAGTAATAATTGAGTTGAAAAAAATATACAAGACACTTTTATTTTTTCCTTTATTATATTGTTATAATTCTTTCTTATGTGAACTTTTTGTGCAGTATTTGAAGGATGTCAGTTCAATTACTGGCAAGGGAATCTTGAGTTGTGAAAAGATGGATCCCCGAACCGTTGTCGTTGTATTTATTCTGCAAGTTAAGGGAATTGTTTGAGTTATGAGCGATCTTAGCGCAGTTGTATGTTGACATCTTTTAAATTGTTCAAATTTGTACGGAATACAATTAGTCGATCATTACTTTTGTTCTTTGGATACATTACTAATTGCATTCATTTTACATATCATTTGTGTTTGTACATTGTGTATGATGTTTGATATTTACAAATGTATGAATAAGTACTAGTTTCATGACTAATGAACTAAATAAATGATTATTATTCTTTTTTAGGAAATTGTCAGAAATTTTAGTGACATTTCATAAAGTTCTAAAGAAATGTCGTAAATGTTTTATTGACATTAACCTAAATGTTTGAAATTAAATATGACATTTCTTAAAGGTTATAATAAATGTCGTAAATCTTTTACCTACATTACCTTAAATGTCAGAAAATTCAAGTGACATTTTTATAAAAGTCGTAAATAAATGTCGCAAATCTTTTTGCGATATTTAACTAAATGTCGAAAAATTTCCGACATTAAAATTTGCGACATTTAGGACAAATGTAAATTAAATATCGGCGATTAAATTTGTGACATTTAAGCACCATAATATGACATTTATATAATGTCGTCGTATCCCCTACTTCTTGTAGTGTATTTTTGTATTATCTTATTCATGGATCTTTACTATTACATGTTGTGTCATTCGCGACCGTTACTTAAATATTGTTTGCTACTTGTTGCTTTATCTCCATTATTCCTTGAGCCGAGGTCTATCGGAAACAACCTCTCTATCTTAATAAGGTAGGGATAAGATCTGCGTAGACACTACCCTCCCCATATCCCATTTATGGGAATACACTGAATTTGTTGTTGTGGTTGTTGAATGCAAACTAGATTGTTACTTAAACCCGATTGGTTGGATGAAAGACAAATCCAACTACTAAAAGACAACTTGCTCTAAGACATTCTTAAGATGAAATAATAGTTGATATATTGTCGATCGCAAATAAATAGGACTTCAATTCATACATTTGCCTCATTTTGCTCCAAATACTTGACTAAATGCGCACCTGCATCACTATATCCTCATATTTTGATAGGTTCAACTAGTAACAAGTTAATCATGTTTTTAACATTGCCTTTGGAGTTTGTGTATCCATCTCCCTCTTTATACAGAGTGTCCATCGCACGTGCACAATCTATAACTCGTTCAAGGACAAACATTTGTACTTTAGTAGGACGGAATAATTCCTTGTTTATATCTTTGTAACGACCCGACCGGTCGTTTTGAGCTCTAGCGCGTCGCTCAGCAGTTTGGGGCAATGAGCAGCTTCACTTCAGGTATTATGACTTGTACGCATGGTCGGAATTGAATTCCGGGGAATTCGGAGTTGATTTGGAAAGGGAATTCTCATTTCGGAAGCTTTAAGTTGAAAGAATTGACAAACATTGTATTTCAGAGTAAAAGACCTCGGAATCGGGATCTGAATATTCCAGTAAGTTCGTATGATATTTTCGGACTTGGGCGTATGCCCGGATCGGGTTTTGGATGACCCGGGAGCGTTTTGGCGCCTATTATGGAAGTTAGCATTTTGGAAGAAATTTCATAAGTTTGAATTGAAGTGCATTTCAGTGTTATGGATGTCCGTTTGGGATTCTGAGTTTGGGAGTAGCTCCGTATGGTGATTCTGGAGTTGGGAGCGCGATCGGAAGTGAATTCGGAGGTCCGTAGGTCATTTGGCTAAAGATAGAAATTTGAAGGTTTTTGAGAAGTTTGACCGAGAGGCTGACTTTTTGATATCAGGGTCGGATTTCAATTCGGAAAGTTGGAGCAGGTTTGTAATATCGAATATGACTTGTGTGCAAAATTTGAGGTCAATCGGATGTGATTTGACGGGTTTCAGCATCGAATATAGAAGTTTGAAATTTCAAAATTCATAAAATTTGGATTGGAGTACGATTCATGATTTCGACGTTGTTTGATGTGATTTCAGGCCTCGAGCGAGTTCGGATCATGTTTTGGGACATGTTGGTATAATTGGTTAAGGTCCCGAGGGCCTCGGGTGGATTTCGGAAGGTTAACGGAATGAATTTCGGACCAAAGAGTTGCTGAAATTTTCTGCAGAAAGCTGTTTTGACAGCAACTAGTGCAATTGCGGAGCTGAATTTAGAAGCTTATATCTCGAAATTTATAACGAATCTGAAAATTTGCAAAACATAAAAGTTGTTGCCCTTGCATTCTAATTTCCAGAAAGTTAAACCATTCATAATTTGGACATTTTATCAGAAAGTTATGATCGATTAAAGATGGCTGGTGGAGCAGTTTTGACAGAATTTTCTGATGCATGGAACCGACTTTAGAAGCTCATATCTCGGAATATATAAAGATTTATATAGTGTGCAACCTATCAAATAAAATATCTTTGAGTCTAGTTTCTAAATATTTAAACCGTTTTTCATTTGGATATTTTCACAAGGAGTTATGGGCGTTTTAACAGAACGTGTACAGCAGGGGAAAATTGTAATAGGATGTACAACCTGCACAGCGCAAGGTACCACTCGATGAAGCCTGGGCAGATTGTTTTAAACACGAGTTTTGGCCCATTTCTTTCAATTGGCTTGGACGATTTTGGAGAGCTCAAGGAGGGATTTTCACCAAGCAACACTAGGTAAGTGATTTCTTCCTATTTTTGAGTTAAATATGTGATCTTACATGGATTTAGACATGAAAATTAGTATAAATTTGGGATTTTTGGGGAAGACCTAGAATTTGGAATTTTGGACTT